AATATCCTCACAGGTGCACCATGCCACAGCGTATAGGGATGGAAAGACGGAAGTGCTGACTCCTGCAGATAGTGGTGGGTGGGTCATGCCTCCAACGTGATGAACGAACGCACCATAACTGACGCCAACACCAGTTTCCAGATGGTATCGCTCCTCAAACTCGCCAAAGTCACCGAAGAAGGTGTTCGTTTCCTCAGCCCCCACGATGGGTCGCCCATGCTGCTCACACCCGAACACTCCATCTCCCTCCAGAACTCAATCGGCTCCGACATAATCATGCAACTCGACGACGTTATCGCAACCACCTCGCCTGACCATGCGCGTATGAAGGAAGCCATGGAACGCTCGGTACGCTGGCTTGACCGCTGCATACAAGCGCATAAATACCCAGACCGACAGAACCTTTTCTGTATCATACAAGGTGGCCTGGACCTGGACATGCGGAAAGAATGCACTGCCGAGATGGTTGCGCGAGATACACCAGGCATCGCGATAGGGGGCCTTTCTGGTGGTGAGGAAAAGGCGGCCTATTGCGAAGTCGTGAAGACATGTACCGACCTGCTTCCTGAGAAGAAGCCGCGATATGTTATGGGTGTTGTAAGTTTTAGACGCCCTCCGCTCTATTACAGCTTACTGACCAACTCAGGGATATCCAGAAGATCTGGTCGTCTCCGTCGCACTCGGCGCCGACATGTTTGACTGTGTCTGGCCAACACGAACCGCCGTAAGGTCTTCTCCCTATTCATCACAGACCCATGCTAACAACATCTAGCGATTCGGCAACGCCATCACATCACGCGGCTCCCTCAACCTTCGTAATGCCATGTACTCCGAAGACTTCAGCCCGATCGAAGAAGGTTGCCGATGCACCTGCTGCCGTCCGACGTCCGATGGCGGACTGGGTATCACTCGAGCCTACATATACCACGTCACCGCGAAGGAGACGGCTGGTGCCCACCTTCTCACCATGCACAACGTCTACTACCAATTAAATTTGATGAGGGAAGCGAGGGAGGCCATCGTGCAGGATCGCTACCCACAATTTGTCAAGGATTTCTTTGGTGATCTGTACAACAGGGAAAAGGATAAGTATCCTGTATGGGCGGTCGACGCGCTGAAAAGCGTTGGTGTAGACCTGCTTGCCGAGTAGACGAGTCGAGAACGTCAGTGCTGGCCTCGATCTAAATAACTCATTCTGCCATGAATATTCGCTTGATGGACGTTCGCCAGGCTAACAGTTGATGAATGCATTAAAAGCTCTTCACAGAATTATATCGCGCGAGATCAATCCACCCTGAAATTCCAACACATCATCCATCCACACTCCTCACGACCCATACTCCGGCGGGCTCCAAATCTTTGATGACCCAAATGCTGGGATGATCTTTCCAATCACACCACTGAACTTCTGGATGAACGGATGTGACAAAGTCCCGGTCACGGTGTTGAAGACCTTGATTCCCCATTCCGTCTGCGGGTTTGCGATTTGCGGGGCTCCGGGGATGAGTTTCTGCGCCTTGTCGACATATTCGCGGGTAATGCGTTCGTAGTTGGTGAGCGCGGCGGGGATGTCATCTTGAGAGCGCGAGATTTCGCCTGCAAGAACGTACGCGCCTACGATCGCTGCACCAGTGCCCTAGTTATGACATTAGCATGAAGCTTTAGTGTTGAGAACAACGGCTGAGGGTAACTTACAACACCAGAAATCGGACTGGGGCAATACGCTGCATCGCCCACCAAGGCCACACACCCCTTGTGCCAAGTATCCATCCTGACCTGCGCAATCTGCTGCATGTAGAAGTCATCCGCCTTCTTCATCTCGCGTATACAACGCTCAGTCTGCCATCCTGCACCCTCGAACTCCTTCTCGAACCACGCTTGCTGCTCCTCCCTAGTCCCTTTCTTCAACAGTCTGTCTATTTCTTCGAAGCGGCTAAGATCTCCATCGGTAATGGCGAGATACGCACGCGTAGTGCCGTACTGGTCAGGTCGTAGAAGGAACAGTCGGCCGCGCGAGGCGTTGTACCACTGTGCATACTGGGTATCGACGGGTTCGCGAGGCATGGTGAAGAGAGCAGAGTACTGACCGAGACGGTGCAGATAGTCGTCGTTCTTGGGTCCGTGGCCGAACACGATGCGCCGGGTTCGCGACATTTGGCCATCGGCGCCGATGACGACGTCAAATTCAGTAGGTGGGAGCTTGCCGTTTGCGAAAGTGACAAGTGCTTTGCTGCCTTTGGATTCGTCTTGTTGGACCTCTGTGGCCATTTCGCCGAAGACGTATTTGATGTTTGGGTTGGATAGTGTGAGCTCGTAGACAATGCGTGCCATATCTCCTCTTAGGATTTCGTACTCGCTTGTTGCTATGATGAGTTAGTTTTGAACTCTGATACTGACCTGACAATGTTCTCTTTTATCTTTCGTTGGGTGCTATGCACGGAAGCTAGGTGTCTTACCACTTTGTCTCTCTTCCTCTCCAGTGGCCTCAAACGTTGCACGCCTTTCTCCATCTCGGTAAACGAATTGCATGCCAACTTCTGTAGTAGTCTTCTCTTTCACCTTTTCCAGGATTCCCATCTTCTTTACGATGGGCAGAGCTGAAGAGCGTAGATCGACGGCTTGTCCGCCTAATCTTGGTTCCGGTGATCGCTCTACGATGGTGATCTGGCAGGTGGGCATGAAGCGGTGCAACCAGTACGCTGTTACAGGACCGGCGATGCCGGAGCCTGATATCAGGATGTTGAGAGGTTGTGTAGCGGACGGCATTTTGAAGGCAGGGTGGATGTTCGACCAAGGCGTGGATCTGGGACACGCGGGCTGAGGTACTGAGATTCTGGCTAGACGAACGTGTGGAAGGTGCTGCGGGTAAATGTATACAAAACGAGGAGAGCTGCAATGTGATTATATGCGCAACGGACGTCCGTCCAACTACTCTATATACCTCACATTCCTTTTCTCTTTCGGTCCTTTGCATGCATCCCGACTCTTCATCACTGCATTCACCCAGGGTGCAGCCTACTAGAACACAGACACAATCATGAGTCGGAACTCCGTCCTTACTACTTGCAGATCGGGTTCCTGCGCGCTACGGCGAAATTCTGCCGTGACTAATGACATCACCAGATCCCCAAGACAATCGGTGGCTTTGGCGCCGCTAGTACCATCTCTCGGTCGTTCTACAATTGGATGGAACTGAGTTTGTAGTTGTTTGGATTCCAGGCGTGCAGTTGTGCATGAAGGAAAGCTTGAAAAGTTATCGGCTGTCAGGTGTCTTCCGCCGCCGCAAGGAATGCGCAACGTCTCGTACTTCTTACTCAACGCGGAATCGGAGGATGCGGAAGTGCCGATGGTATCTTGGCGATAAGGCCTCCACACGACGAGGCCAGGAAGCTTTCCTATGAAAAGCATCGTGCATCTGACATTTTACCCTACGATCGACTATTGTCCACGCCGCTGGCGAAGATATGCTTGCCTTACGAGCTCTCAGAGTTGGGTGACAGTGTCAGCGCTGTCAGGATGCTACGCTAGCTTGCTGACTAATACACGCGGTGTCCACGCGTTGGGTGTGCTAGGAGCGCGTCAGATCGATGCAACCTACCTTAGTCACACTGATGTTTCCTATGACAAGCTGTTGACTCACTCGCGAAAAGTGCGACTGATTCGCTTGACTCGGTGTCCTCTACCTAGGTTCTTTGAGAGATAATGGCGTCGGTGGAAGCCGAAACACGACATGTTCGCTCCCCTTTTGATCTGTTCGCTCTAGTAAGCCAACTCAATACAACACAATGGGGATACAAGTGATTAACATGCCTTTAGGAACATTGGGAAAGCACCAGACCTGCGCTGCCAGCCGACCATCATCAGCGATGGATTGAAATAGCCAGGAGGTACCGCAGTACAAGCCTCCTGCAGAGATGGGTGCGGCATGCCTCACCCGATGCCACGGCGTGATTGCATTGGCCTCAAAATTGACGCTACCCAGCCTCTGTACAAGCGGGTCCAGGGCGCACTGGACGAAGTCCCTGGTGCAGCATCTCTTCCTTCGCCCACCACAAAACAAATCGACGAGATATTTGCTCCGCATCAAACCATCCAAGAACACAATATCAGCAGATGGTACTCAGGGTGGAACACAGTCTGGTTAAGGACATGTTACAAGCCCTCAATGGCCCAAAGCTACGCTGAGCTCGCACGACTTTCTGGGGCTAACATCGAGGACGGCTGCGTTAAAAGTTTGAACCATGTTTTAGATGATTGTGCGCTTTATGACTTCCATGGACTGGATCAAGAAGTCCTGGATCAGCTTCTTCTTCGCATTCCCGGACTGACCGATGGTTTGGGTATAATGGACGAGTATGGAGATGGTAGTGAACTTGTTTATGGAAGTGCCATCTACCAAATCGAGAGGGAAGAGGACGGGAGTCATGTAGATCGCAACATCACAGATCAAGAGCTGTTCGATATCAGAGAAGTGGCTAACCGAGTTCAGAACTATGTGTATGTGGCAGACGAAGAAGCTATCGAAAAGAGCAGGGTGAAAATATGGTGGTTCGATGAGTTTGGAAAGATCATCTGGGACAGCTACGCTGAAATCCCAGGTTCCGATTTGGATGGGCTGCGCGGTGCGATGATGGATGGGCAAGACTTTGTCGAAGTTGTTGGAGAAGACGGCAAAAGGGGCGGTCAAATTGCCCGACCATAGCCAGTTCAAGAACGGATGACAGGGCCGGCACGACTTGGCAACGATGCTTTACCACCCATTTGTTTGAGAAGAACAAACCGATGTGGTAATTGCAAGAAGAGCATGGGTTATGCGATGCTGTCATGCGAGCACATCATCAAGCGGGGTATTGCGTGCTCGCCACCTCCGCATCTATGCAGCGAGACACAACCCGTTGCGATGGACTAGAAATAACCGGGAATAACGTCGCAGAATGTATAAAAGTCAAACAGGACTCCAAGTCGCCCAAGTCTCGTAAGTTGAAACTACTGCCAGCAACATGCCATCAGCGACGCTGCAACAGCCACCTTGCATTCCAAAGTGGGGACGGCCCAAGCAAACAACGAAGAAGCTAGACTGGGCAGAGATCAAGGTCATTGATCTATCTACGTATGACGAACCTAATGGAAAACAAAAACTGGCTGAAGAGCTGAGAGACGCAGTGAGTTGGCAGCTATACTGTGCGACAAACGTCCCTTCTGACAACGCCGAAGGTGCACCACACGGGCTTCTTCAGCGTTACTGGCACTGGTCTAACGCAGGAAGAGGTCGAGCGTCAATATGATATCGGTCAAGCTTATTTCGACTTGCCGTTAGAAGAGAAGGGCGACCCAAAGTACCGATGTGATTTCGCAAAGGGCAACTACTTTGGATACCGCGCTGTACGCCCCTCATATCCATGTCATTAGAAAGCAAATTACGCTTGTCTAACGCAAAACCAAGGCCAACGAGAAGAAAATCATGGGCACCGCGGTCCTCGATAACGTTGAATCCCTCAACATACCCAAATTCATCCCTTCAAACTCCCACGAGCCATTCCCACAACTTCCTCCACCCCTTTCGCCCAGAGATCGAGTCTTTCTCGCGCCGGTCTCTGGACATAGCATCCAAGATCTTCACGCTCTTCTCTTTGATCTTGGAACTACCCGAGACCTACTTCTCAGATCAACATCGCTATGACGACGCATCAGAAGACCATCTACGCTACATGATCTACCACCCACGCCCCGCTGCCGACGATGCCAAAGTTCAGAATACTTGGTCTCGCGCGCACACTGATTTCGGAAGCTTGACACTACTCTGGAGTCAAGATGTTGCAGGTCTCCAACTCAAAACTCCGGCTGGAGAGTGGAAGTACGTTCCACCTGTTCCCAACGGCATCATATGTAATGTTGGTGATACTTTGTCCTTCTGGTCTGCAGGCTACTTCAAGTCGACTATCCACAGAGTAATCAGACCACCAGAGGATCAAGCGCATATTCATCGGCTGGGGCTGTTCTACTTTGTCAGACCGGGAAATGAGGTCGATATCAAGCCTGTGGCATCACCTTTGTTGAGAAGGTTGGGGCTTGTCGGCGAAGATGCCGAAGAAAGGGAGCCAGTGAGGGGTCTGGAGTATGTTAGGGAAAGAGTGAAGGATTATCATGACCATGGGGACTATGCGGACAAGAAAGGCAAGAAGTTCAAAGTGGGAAACTTGGAAATCGAAGACGAGGCGGCATAGCGTCGCGAGAGAATAATTCTCTCCCTAAAAACACTCGCGCGATGAACGTCGAAGAAACTAGAGTATATCAAACTCCAGCTAAACACACCACGTCTTTGCTCTGACCCCGTCAAATGAAGCACTCCACAATCTCCATACTCACAATTCCCTTGGCCGCAAACCTCATACTCGTTCTCTCTCCCCACACCGCACTGTTCCAACTTTGACAAATCTCTAACCCATTATTTACCCTCTTAACCCTCCCCGCCCATTTCGGCTCCCTCTCCAGCTTTTCAAAAATTGGTAGGCCGCCCCTGCCATTGTAGCAGGCGTCGTACGCCGCTGTCTTCCATGGCCCCAAGGGCTCCTTCCGACACCCATGGCTGATCTTAATACGACGATTGATGCCATGCGCAAGGTATTGCGTTATAGCCGCGAGTATGGCGTAGCGCTCTGGATCGTGGTCGCGCGGATCGGGGATGGAGTGGACGTGCCAGTTTGTGTGGTCGAAGAAGTCTTGCACTTCGTTGCGGAGGACTTCGTAGTCGCCGCGGATTAGGTAGTGGTACATTACGTATATTTTGTCTAAGGGGGTTTCGTTGGGCTTGCGCTTGGGGAGGAGGATGGCGTCGAGGCTGAATACTTGTTAGTTTGTGTTGCAGCTGTATGGGTGAGGTGAGGATCTGGGTGCTACATACGGCCAAGGGTATATCGCTGAAACGGGATGGGAAGAGAGTGAAGGATGCACATGGTGCGTGCTGAAGGTGCGCAGCTTGGTGTATAGTGCCGGGTGATTGTTCAGAAAGTATGCTTTGCAGCCTCGGTGGAGAGGCAGTGGTTGTGAGGGTTGGAGAGGTATTGTGGGGAAGTAGCGTGGCATTTTGACGGCTCGACAGTGGGGATCTTGATATGCGCTTGGGAAGAATCGTCAGTACAAAGGCACTGAAAAGATGGGTATGAAGTCGAACGGTAGCTTCGGGCATGATCATGACATGTTTGAGAGATGCCGAGTGTTGCGAACAAATCGGAGGAGAATATTCTGGCGTCAACTTCGGCTCGTAATGACCGTGTCGTCTCAGAAAGCGGCCTATGAGCTGTGTAAACTCCAGGCTTGACGAGTTGTTTGGTTGATCGTGCGGTAAAGAGACAGCATTTCCATTGAGTGGGACCAGTGTGCTGGTCCCGAGGGGTACCGTTCTATGTGCCGTGATCCAGTGCGTCGGACTCTGACACAGGGTCCTTGCATGATGTTGACATTCGTCAAAACATCGGTTGATGGATAAGAGTTTTGTGGTTCAGGGGCGGTGGTGACGATTTGGAGAGCAACTCCGCGGAAGGCTAGACTCAATCATCACCTCTGGTCGTCATGCGATATCGCTAGATACCGGGTTGACTCTGTTTGCTGTATCGAACGAAATTTCTTGAGAAAGGAATAGCGAGCGTTGCAGGAGGTCATTGTGATTCCAAAAAAAACTGCGCTTTCAAACCGCTAAGCGAATATCAATGTAGTATCGTGCAACATGCGTCCAAAGACATTGGAACTAACTCGCGATTGGATTCAACGCTCACCTTGAACTGCATAAGTCCCTTCAACACTCATGCCCTCCTTTTTCTTGCCGAAAGCTTTCAACTTGTCCTTCAAGCTCGCGCTGAATTTCCTAGTCATACTCCCACCGGCTCTCTCCACCTTACCCACCAGATTCTTCACACTGTCCTTTCCCTCCGTGATGACGGGCGCGACACCAGTAGAAATACTTCTCTTGAGATCCGAGCCTATAGAAGTCACCGCTTTGACCTTCAACTTCTCCCAGCTGCCGGTTCTGCCATGCGATTGATAGCCACGCGCTTGGTAGCCGTAACCATGCGTTTGATATCGATGCTTTTTGACTTTAGGTCGTTGCTTGGGCGTCGAATGATAGGGGTTTGGTGTGAAGGTGCTGCAGGTAGGATATGAAGATGGCCATCGCGATGGTAGTGACATGTGGTGCGGTTCCGGCGCATGCGTTGAATGCAGAGCCGAAGAAGATGTAGGGGCCCAGGACGATCGGTTCGACATAGCGGTTTCAGGCCTGAGGTGCTGATTCGTGATGGAATTGCGTGAGAACGCTCTTGATATCGCCGGTCTCTCCAAATCTTCTCCAGGTATTGGCACGATTGCCCTTCCGTAAGGAGACGATTCAATGTCCAAGTCAAAGACCCGTCCTTGCCTCCTCTCTTGCCTTGCCTCGAAGCTTCCCCGTTCATCTGTAACACGCCTCATGCTTAGCTTGCGCCTGAACTTGTCGATACTACCCACTCGGCTGCAGATACTGCCATACTTGCTGTCTTGCTTTCCTAGACGTCGTCCTTCACCATGCACGTCGCGAGTTGCTTGTTCCTGGCGAGCAAGGAAGTCCTCGATCCACTCTTTTGAGCTTTCATCGGTGGCAGAAGGCTGAACCCATTCGCTCGATCTCGCCCAGTCATGTAAATACACTCTTTCGGTGGACTTCGAACGGATGTTACTGTTCAACCTTGAATGAGCTTCATAAACTCCACCGCTCAATGGCACATTGGATATAGACTCTGGAGTACCGGTCGGAGTTGCGTCACTACTTGTACGGCTGGGCCACGTCATTCTCAATGAGTTACGCAGACTGGCGACTTCATGGAGTCTTGCATCTAGCTCGCCGATAGACTGCATGCTTTGGAGCTGGGAGGATGGATGAATGTGTATAGGTCCAGGCTCTGTGTGTGACTTCGCAGAGACTAGGGAATTCATTGTCGATGCGCGCGAGGAAGGCCTACTTAGAGGCGAGCATGGATGAATAGTATCCTCCTCGGTGTCGTTGATCAACGTGGTGGTTCTCAGAGGAGGTGCAGATACTGGGCGATAAAACGGTGGTTTAGGTTCAATAATCGGAGTCAGCTCGTTCTGCGACGACTTCGGCAGAGGCTTGCGGCGAGGCATGGTGAGGGCATGGCTCTGGTGTACGGCATCTGTCACATTCAAGAATTGAAGTTTCGGAACAGCCGGGTATGTGGGCACTCCTGAGGTAGTTGAGTCGTCGTGCATTCGTATAACATTTTGCTGGTTTGCCACAGACGGCGTCGAGGAAGAATCAGTCGTGTTGTATGAACTTTCGGCGCACGCGGGAAGCTGGCCAGACGGCGTTTTGGAACGTTTCGAATCTCTAGAGATGTATCTGTCCTCGATGATTTGCGTATCTTCTGGAGATGGTAAGTCTCTCGCTTCTGTCGTGGCAGTACGTGTACCGTTCCTTTGCCTGTACATATGTTAGTGGGGCTCGACGTTGCATCTTGGGTTGCGCACTCAGACTTGGCCTGTCTCGACATTTGCACGGCTTTCAGCAAGACACCCGCGCCGTTGTCATGGTCCGAGGCATGTGCAATGTTCGCGGCATCGCCGGCCTCCATGATGATGGTTGTTTGTTGGAGGAGAGCAAGATTTACATTCTCGCAACGGACCCCAGGAAAAGCTCGTACGTCAATGAGCATCGTGTACTGGCAGTCCCACGATTGGCGACAACCGGATCCACCCGTGCCCGCGGTATCGTCGGTCAATTACTCGTAGCTGATGTGCAAACTCAGATCGCTTATGGGCTTGAGGGGAAGCGATCAGGGTCTATGACAGTCGTTTTCGGATCGAATATCCCATGGTTACCGCGGAGCGGGGTTCGACTGCGATGCGAGTCTGGTACTGATTGCGGAAGACCCTGCATCGCCTCGTCGCCTTTTGCGCTGCCGTCCTCGGATTCCGCACTGTGATAAACTCTGCACCATTGATTTTTTGTGTGTAAACCTTCGTCTACAGAGATACAATCAATCGGTGCAATCTTGTTGCTGTGGTGCAGTTCAAGATGTGTTGGTAAGCAATCAAAGATGAGAAGGAAACCCCCATATGAGCTCGGTTGTGCCTATCGGAGTGCTAGTGGAAGTCATGAAATATGGGATGATCAAAAGTGAACGCAGATGTGGAAGGTGCAGCGGGGTTATGGAAAGACATCGTGTCGGATTGGGGGTGTGGAAAAGAGCGTACCGTGGCACCCACCATTCTGTACCAACACTATCTACTTTACGCATGGGCGATAACGGAGAATGCGGGGCAACGACTGAGTTCTTGTACAGCTATGAGTGCGGGGCAATCATCGCGATCTGTCCGTGTTACTGAAGTGTGGTTACGAAAGTCAAGCTTCAACGTTCAAAAGTGCAGAGGGAGGAATATTAGTACCTAGCTAGGTATTGCGCTAGCCAACACGTGCTCGTCACGTGTGACCTTCAATGCAGAAACAGAATTTGGGAATGTCTGAGAATACGCTCATGAAGATTCCCGCCATCAAGGAAGAAAGCACACACAGATGCAGCCATAGCCTTACTGCTCCATCGCAATACTGCGCTCGTAGAGATCAGACACTACCAGCAGCTTAGTTCATGCCATTCCACGCGGTTTCGGAAAGAACTTACGAGTCTGTCCGTCCAAGAAGAACCCCTCCAGATTCTTCGCCACTCGCTCATATCTAGCCAAGTCATCTTCATTAAGAATCACATTGACCTTGGCTCTGATACCCCGAACATGCGCCATGAACTTGAGGAAGTTCCCTGTTAGGCGGTCTACAAGGACAACCTCCATGTCACCACCCTTCAGCGGTCGGTTGTCAAGACGCATTACATACGTTGGCTCGTTCTCTTGGATGGCCTTTTGAAATCGCTCGGAGTGCTGGTAGAGGAAGGCCACGTGATCCGCGATATCCTCCCAGAAGCCGATGAGCGAGAGAAGCGCAACGCGACACGCTGCCGAATGGTGGACATCGATGGACTGGTGGCCGGGAAGACCACAGACACGACAGCCACCGTATGTAGGACGCGCCAATAGATTGAAGCGGTCGGGGTTTTGTGGAACTTGCTTTGTGCCGGCTGGAGTCAGCTCGCGAACGGCTACTGAGAGCTTCGTGAGCGTTTCGCGAACATAGTCGGCATCATTCGACGTTGGAGATGACATAGTGATTGGGTGCTGTGTGTTA